AAGAACCCCCCCACCAACACCCCCTCCATACCCTCCTACACACCCCATCCTCTACCATACTCCCACACCCTCCCACAGGTCCCATGCATGCTCCCATTCCCCACCATACCCCCCCACACCCAGACCCTCACATAGTCCCCACATGCACTCCCACCCCCACCATACTCCCACACATACCCGCAGCCTCCCACACACCCCAAACCCTCACCCTCACACACCCACACATACACACACCCCACCACACACACCTACCCACTCCTCAACCACACACTCCCCCAGCCACACACTCCCCACATACAAGTCTTACCCCCAACACAATATACAAGAGTAAGGCTGTATTTTACACTATTATACAATCACCTCTATATACACTATGCAAACACATAAATCAGGACAAAAATATTTTTTAAATAAAATTGAAATACATTATAGTAGATGTTTGATTTTTTTTAGTATACAATTTGTTGGGGGGTTTTCTAGTTCCAACTTGGCACCCCCACCTTCCAAAAGGAGTACTTCTGGGACAAAGGGAAGGACTTCAGTTGACAGAGTTTAGGGGTAGGGCTTCTGGTCCTAAGATGGTGACCAGGGGGCGAGGCACCTGTCAAGGGGTGGAGCTACCCTTGAGGCCCTTGACAGCTCACCAACACTCATTAAGCAGCCCTTCAGCCAAAATAATTGCCCACCCCTGGTATAGATCATTCAGTTCCTCCAGGGGAAGCTGGAAAGTTTTTATTATTTATTAGAACCAGTGAGACATTTTTCAGAAAACAAGTCTTGGGATTTTGGCCCCCTGCAGCAGTCCTTTCTTTGGTGCTCTCCTTTCTATCATGTAGCCTAAACCCCACTTGGTGCCTTGACAATGTGGCTCATGTTGTATTTTTAAGGAAAATGTCCCTTGCATGCAAAAGGGAGCTTTGCATGTGGCTAGGTGCCTGCATTAAACGTGAAGGCAGTTTTTCTGGTTAATCCAACTGTTTGCTTACTTTTGACTGGTTCTTTTTCCTGGCACGTTAACAATATTGATATCTGAAGCACCCTAAGGAGTCTTCACTGCTGAGATATTCAGAGTCATAGAGGATTGCAGGTGATATTCTAAAAGACTCAGTTTGGAGTTACGTTAATGGAATCCATAGTCAGTCATTTCTAAGGTCAAATTACAGCAGGTTTACTTATTCCTTTGTAGCCCATGAGAATACCATTTAATGACTGTTTCTTTTTCAGGGACAATAAAGAATTCAAGCTGTATCCTTTGCCACTTTTTTCCTTTCAAAGCATTTAATATTTATAATATCAAAGTGAAACCTTTCCTGCAGTAATGACAGCTGGAACTATTCTAAATATTCTTGCAAGAAGTGAACTGTCAAACTGCCACCATGCTTTGGTGTCTTGCTCTTCCCTTTAACCTTTCCCTTGCCTTCTTTCTTAACATCTTACTTTCCTTGAAACTTTTACAACTCATATCTGAATCTCTCTCTCACTCAGTCTCGAGGTTTTATGAACAAAAGATTATTTTGTATTTTATATTACTGGAATTTAAGCACCCAATTTTGCTGTCACTTTAATGAATTGACAAAGCAAGCTAGGGTGCACTAGGATACTGTAAGGCAAGCTAGGGTGCAAATTTATAGAGCATTAGCTGGCCCACAATAAATGTGAGGGAACTTACCCCACTTTAATTAAAGGCCAAGAGGATGCACACGAGTGGTTCCTGTGGGATAGCTGACATGCTGCAAGTTCATATCCAATTGTGCCTCATGATAACTTGATCATGTGTCCAATTCTGAGTCAGTGCAGTCCACTGGAATTATGCTGGTAGATACAAGAGGAGAAGTTGGCCCTTTGTCACTGCTCTCGTCAGGAATGTGTTAGCTTGGATGTACCTAATTCTGCCTATAAAAACGTAATAACATTTCTGGAAGAGCGGCATCTAACTGAAGTAAGTATCTGGAGGTTAATTTGCTGCATCTGTTTGATAATTTTCAGTGTAGCAGGGTACCGAGGAATTCAGCAGGAGCGGTTTGTGATTATTCCACCATGATCTATAGGACTAGCACATTCTCTGTAGAGCCAAAGCCAAATTCCAGAGTCGCAGAGCTATTTCATTTTGGCAGCTTTAGTTAGACTCTAACTTATGATTACGAACCAAGTTTTGCCACATTCATGTGAGTCATCGCATTGGACTTCCATGAGTAATATGAGTAAGACATAGTCCTGTGTTGGTTTTTGACTTCATGTTAATAGTTTCCTGCATTCTTTAATGTTCAATACATTGCCTGGCTTTGAGTGGTTCATTTACTTACCTAGACTCAAGTGGGCTTATGTTTTTTTACATGAGTAAACTAGAAATTTCTCATACAGAAGTGGGATGTTGATAGGCTTATTTGCACTGATGCTAGCTAAAAGCCACACAGTCTATGTGACTGACAGATATATTTTAGGTTTGTGAGGTATTGCGGATTGAAAAATCTCAAAGAGGACACTTGGTTTCTTGAACAAAAGGTTTTCAAGGACTGAAAGATCAAAGCTGTTGACAAGTCACTTCCCTGCTGTCCCGCACAGCTCTGCTGCAGACAAAGCCAGAGCTACAGTAATTAAATACACAGCTGCAGGCTAGCGCAAGCTGTAACAATGATTACCTTTTACTATTCCCAGGTACTTACAGCCAACCAGAGAGACTGTAGTACACAGAAACTCCATTTTAGCTCACATGCATACATTCGTAGACCTTGCTTATGCAAAGCGTTTGTATAATGTGGCAATCCTTAGGCTAATTCCAGACTTCAGTTTTCAGAAAGGTTCAAATTAATGTCCACTTAATCCTTTTGTATAATTACAGCTATGATAGCAGAAATCAAACCCATTACCATTGTTAGTAGCTGCATCTGAACATTGCAATTATGTCTCCCATTGGAACTAACCGATCTTGATCTGAGCCCTAGTGTAAACTAGACACCTGTGCTCAAGAGCAGGAGTTCCCAACCTTTTTAAATCATGGATCGGCAAGCCACGGACTGGAAGTGACCACAGACCAGCAAACTGCAGTCCAGAAGTGACCGGTATACTGCGGACCGGCAGCCAACCCCTCGCGGCCGGGTACCAGGCCACAGCTGAGGGCTTGGGAACCTCTGCGCTAGAGGAGTAGTATAAGTTCATAGTAAACTATAAATATTGATGTCCTTTGTGGAATATCTAGCTTAGCTATTACCATTCGGTTTTTGCAACTGACTTGAGTTAAATCAATCAGGATCACAATGTCTAGTGCAGACAACAAGTGGTTATCTTAGGCCTGGCCTAATTTAATCCAATTCAGTTCACACAACACTTTATTTACCAGGCCCTTTGCCCCCTGTGAAGGCAGACATAAATAAGCTTAAAATAAGCTCATGTAATTTCAGCTTAATTTCACAATTTCAGACATTTCCTTAACAGGGTCTCTGGTGCTAATAGTTGTATTATTATGTGTGCTTTATTCCCACTCTAAAAATTAGTCATCATATACCATCTGTTTCCCCCCACCACTCTTACTCAGCAGCTATCATAAGAAATGCAGTGTTGTTTGCAGCATTTTAGGGATATTTTTGTGTATATATATTTTCAAATGATCCATTTGAGTCCTTTAGTTTTAACAAACTAGAATTTGCCTTTTCCGGGACAGTTATGCTGTTCTTTATTTACTTGGGAGGAGGGGGAATTACTAATTTAACCCCTGGAGCAGTCTCTGGAGAAGTTACACAATTCAACATGCATGCAACATGTTTTGGGTGCATTGCTGCAGTTGGTCTTTTTTTTTTTTTTTTAAAAAAAGGAAAAATTAGTTTTTTAGTTTTCAATTTTCTCCCCAAAAGAGAAAAAAGAGCACATTTTGTTCTTCTCTAATCAATATGAGCACCAGTGATTGCATTCCAAGCAGGCAGATGCTTTGAATCAAGTGCAATGTAGATGGTTATTAATCTTCTCTGCCATAAGACTTTTCTTCTGTTATGCCTATGCAGGAAGTAATGACTAGAAAAGATGAGCAATCACATGCAGTTCTACCCAACTTAAGCTGGCTTTTGGAAAGGATGAGATAGGGTCAAGTTAAAATATGGTTCCTGCAAGATGTGATATTTCTCTGTTTCTTGTTTTCTCTTTTAATGAGAGGTTTCAGGCAATTTCTTTTGTTAAGTGAATGAAGGGGGTTTTCCCATCGTGGTAAGGCCACCGAGGAACGCATATCAAGAAGCAGGGGCAGCCTGAAGATTTTAAGAGGTAAAAATTGAATTACTTCCAACTCTTCCCCATTTCCATTCAACCTTTTCCACTCTGACCAGACTGTAAGGACTGCTACAAGAGAAAACGTTAAATGATGGAAGTGGGAGCTGTGTATGACTTTCCTTTTGCTATGTATTATGGCTGATGTAAGGACATAGATGTCAAATTCATCCTGTAAAATGAGCCTTATTCCATTTTTAATTAGCATCCGTGGGGCTGGGGGATTTCTAGAATGATGTACGTTTCTTCACCAACAGTGGAGAGTTTACTAGGAGATTGGCTCAGAGTTCAATGGTAGGACAGCCTTTTATTTTTTTGGAACTAAACTCAGTCATTATCACTTATTTTTTCAGTGCTGTATTCTTACACTCAACAGCACTCAAAGGGAAAATCTGCTTCTCTGTAAGATCACTGCTTTTCTCTTCCCCCACAATCTTCATTCACCTGTTTTTGTTCTTCTTCCCTGCATTTGTGAGTTTGTCTACATGGAAACTAAAAATATTCATGCCTTTAGTTATCAGTGCAGTACAGGCAGTCAAAAAGCCCAAGGCTGAATTGATTCAATCTCTGCAGGTTAGTCTCAGCTGTGCAGATTGAACCAATAAGTAGTGAACAGACATTCATTTTTGATTCTGGAAATGCAGCCACAAGCCTGCAGTGGCCAAAGCCAGAAGCCCGGGGGGACGGACATTAGAGCACACCTCCCTGCTCTGCTGGGCCAGACAGCTTGGGCCAAGGCTAGTCTGCCCACCCTGCAAGGTGGGGCTTGCCGGGGAGGTGCAAAGTATCCTGGGATGCTGGGGGACTGTGAGTTGACTTGAATCTGGAGGGGATCTGAGACAGAAGTTTAATAAACTGATTTAACCTAAGTCGGTGGAGTCTGATACTACACCCATCCAGGTTTATCTTAAACTGGTTTCAGCCATTTTGAAAGTGGTTTATGTGCACTGAACTTCTGTTGTGTTACAGATTTGAAACAGTTTTCGATCACTTATACCAGTTTATGTGTAATTTCTATCCGTAGCCTGAAGGTCTTGCTCTTGTTTTGCATTGAGTTAAGTGACATCTATGTAAGGTAGTCTTATTCCAATGCTTGTGTAGCCAAACATAGACTAGTACACATAAATTAAAGGTGCATATTGCCATTGTAAGCATTGCGTGTTTTGTCTACTTTATCTGGATACATGGCCCCTTCCCCCCTCTTCCTCCTTTCATAACTTCTCTTTCCACTCCCTACAGTGACTCCCAATTCTCAAACACTGTTCCCATCCTCCATCTCATTCCCCAGTGCTGGGAAAAAGCAATGAAATAGTTAATATGGAGTATGACGTATTGCTGCTAAACTTTAGGATTAATGCCCTCATGTAATGGGGACAAGGATACTTCTGCTCTGAGCCATTGTTTCAGGCAGTCAGCTCACTTTTGGAAGGGTCTTTTTTACACCTTTTTAAAATGAAAGTTTATGCTCTGCAAATTTTGAACAAAACAGACGGGCCACTTGAATACATTCGATAAGCTGGATCCAGGCTGAAAACAGACACTTGACACCCATGCACAAGAGATTCCAAACTTTTAAATGCACGTTCTTCTTATAATAACAAATTATTCATTGTATGAATGGATTTCTATTTCCAGGTCAAGAGATAAGAAGGTTTATTGGGTGCTTACTGAGGTAGTGTGGTACAGAGTACTTAATCCAAGGAAAGTACAAAGTAAAGAGCACATGAAAAATGGGCCTGATGCAATGTTGACTAGCACACAGAGAGCATGAGAAAAGAAGTATTTAAAACTGCAGAAATAAGGGTCATTATTTCTGATGCTCTGGACACAGACACAAACTTTCAATGATAAGAGTAGAGAATAGAGGTACTGAAGCAATCATTTTCAAAACAAAACAGCCAAAAAAATGCAATCTACTGCAAGTTAAACTTTCCAACGGCCACACATGGGCCCTTCTAAACTGAAAGCATTTTAATGCTGCAAATGCTACAGGGAGCTAAAATGAAGGCTGGCTATCTTTAGCATTTGGCACCGGGAAGAAAATAATGCTCCATTTTATGGTTTTCTGAACAGCTTTGGGACCTCGGAAGAGCTGCAGTGCAAGCTGGGTAAATGTTGGTTTGCAAGCGCTAGCAGGAAGACTTAACATTGTTTTCTTCTTGTCCACTCGCTCTGTAGTGTGGGAGGTCCTCACTGGTTTCAGGGATTAGCTAAAGAGAACAGTTGCGTTCCCAAAGGCATGGGCTCAATTCTGCACTTCAGTCCTCGTTGCTCTGTAACAAAAACAGTTTGGAGGGGAGAAGGTTCTCCACAAGTCTCCCCAAATTTCCTAAGCAGCCTTTCATCAGAGAGCAGTGTACCTCCTCCTAGGAGACGCTGGGAGTTTGCTGCATTAACTTGATCTCTCAGGGACTCCGCGGGGGAGAGGAGCACCCATGCAGATGCCCTTTGAGTTTGCTGCAATTCTCAGCCCTGCCGGGTCCTGGAAAGCCATGCGCTTCCAGGATGCAGCCAGCTTTGCTGACTCCCCTGCCTACCTTCCCTCTCCCTCTACACCAGCACAACCTGAGCCGCTCGTGCGGGAAGGAAGGAGAGCACAGCTGCAGGGAGAAGCTTCTCTCTGAACTTGAAACTTTGTGCTGCATCGGTTGAGGTCCGTGGCAAGACTCCCACTGACTTTGTGGTGAAGGATCAGGCCCACAGCAAGTGAAGGGGAGTGTAGGGTCCTCCGTCAGGCTACTGTAAATCCTAAATTACAAAGGGGAGGTCAGAAGTTAAGCTGGTAGCCTGACAGCAGAACGTGGCATCATGTGCTGGGGATGAAAATCACTCAAGGAAATCATTGTCCATGACAGAGGAGGAAGGGCTGTTCCAGGCAGTGGCAGCAAGGTCTTTTGGGAGCTGGTTAAATATTCAGCGTGCAGATTTCTACCAGAGCAAATGGACATTTTTAAAATTTCACTGCACAACTGCACTCATGGGTATCACTGTGCATATTTAAGCCATGCTGCTAGCAGATGGATGTGTGTGAAAGAAAACTTTGCAGACTCTATAGCCTGCCTTCTCTTCAGAAAAGTGCCAACTGCCACATCTTTGCTATCAAAGCGCTATGAAACACGCACGGAAATGTGATTTCTGCCTCTCGTTCAACATCATTTTTTCTTGTTGCACACATTGGTAATAACATTTTAAAAAAATCATAAATATTACAAAATAATATATGGTGCAATATAATGGACAATTATTTGGACCCAAGGGCCACTTAAGGAGCTTTGATGACCTATTGCAGGCCAGGTCAGCCCCCCCGCCAGCTGCCATGCTGGGCTGGGTCAGCACCCCCTTCGCTCCATAACAGCTCACCAAAGTGCCCTGAGTGGCTCTGCCCTGGGGCCTGGCCCTGTGCTA